GTTTGGTGAGACTCTTTAATAAATGACTTACTAAAATCCATTACAAAAACACATGAAAGGAAGGCGGAATATTACATAGACCCTGTTCCTGTAATTGTTTTTTGTAACTCTGTAAAAAGCATGTATTACTATTTGTATTGCACTAGTGCTTAGCATCGCTAGTCATGGGTCAGGACCCCATTGTGCTAGGCGCTGTACAAAACAGCCCCAGACCCAAAGATATAACTATACAAATATAAGATGAGAGACAACAGATGGATGCAGACAGATGAGGGAGCACAAGGAAACAATGAGACAATATTGGTTAGCATGGCAGGCAATAGTCTTGGCACATCAGGTGCCTAATGCTGCCAAGTTTTGGGAAGGGGTTGCAGACGTTGCGGCAAAGGAGAATTTTGAGAGGGGATTTGTAGGATGCCAATGAGGTAGCTTTGTGGATGTTTACAGGGAGCTGCTCCCAACGGTGAGAGGCAACATGGGAGAAAGCACATGCGTGCTTGTTTGAAAATGTAACAAGTGGGCAATGAAATGGCAGTTTTAATTTGTTTCTGCTGCATGTTCTCTCCTCATTTATCCCTAACACTCCCTCATCTGTGGAACGGGGAGGTGGTCCAATGACACGGGATGCTCCAGGATTTAGCCTTGCCCTTCGCCTCAGGCCACCAGATTTTCCCGCCGCTGGAGGCGGAACAAGTTGATCAGTCAGTTTCTCCCAACTACTCAGTTTTATAACTTTAATTTGTATTGGTTTTCATTCAGTCACGACTTTCATCTCATTCCTCTCTCCCCTTTCCACCCCTCCCCCAATAATGGCTTTGTGACTAAACAGAATTTTGTGAGACAATGTCTGTTTTCCATCCAAATTTTTCAGGTATCTGTGGACAGCTAAAAACGTTCAGGTTTTGATTGTCAAACACCAAGTTATTTTGGTGGCATTCAGGCTTTCGGTTTTCAAAACAAATTGAAACAATTCAAGGCATGACATGTTTTGAAATGTTTTGTGAAAAATGAAATGCATTTTCTGACCAGTTCTATGGCTGCAGGACTGGGATCCAACTAAAAAAGGGATGAAAATCTCACCCAGAAGTGAGTGATTTTTGCCTGTCTCCAGGCAACTTTGTAATGAATGTTTACATTTTTCAATGTCTGTACTTTGGTGTATTCTGCACCAGTGTGTCTGTGTCTGTGTGTGTCTGTGTATATATACATGCACTGGTGCAGAATCGTACAGTGTGGCAGATTTCTTTATGCAATTTTCAATTTTTTAATCCTTTAGCAAGTTCACTAAGAAAGAGGAAGACTCACTGTGCGCCACACCTCGAAATTGTGCAACGTAAGTGAGCAATTACTTGCTTGTGGACATGTTATGAACTTAGCAGCCCATTAACATTGCAGATGTCAGGTCTAGTTAGTGATTTCATACCAACCTTGCAGCTTTACTAGTCCCATGCTCTTGAATAGTCACCGAATGGGAAGAGACTGTCTAGGAAGGAGTACGGCAGAAAGGGATCTAGGGGTTATAGTGGACCACAAGCTAAATATGAGTCAACAGTGTGATGCTGTTGCAAAAAAAGCAAACATGATTCTGGGATGTATTAACAGGTGTGTTGTGAGCAAGACACAAGAAGTCATTCTTCCGCTCTACTCTGTGCTGGTTAGGCCTCAACTGGAGTATTGTGTCCAGTTCTGGGCACTGTATTTCAAGAAAGATGTGGAGCAATTGGAGAGGGTCCAGAGAAGAGCAACAAGGATGATTAAAGGTCTTGAGAACATGACCTATGAAGGAAGGCTGAAAGAATTGGGTTTGTTTAGTTTGGAAAAGAGAAGACTGAGAGGGGACATGATAGCAGTTTTCAGGTATCTAAAAGGGTGTCATAAGGAGGAGGGAGAAAACTTGTTCACCTTAGCCTCCAAGGATAGAACAAGAAGCAATAGGCTTAAACTGCAGCAAGTGAGATTTAGGTTGGACATTAGGAAAAAGTTCCTAACTGTCAGGGTGGTTAAACACTGGAATAAACTGCCTAGGGAGGCTGTGGAATCTCCACCTCTGGAGATATTTAAGAGTAGGTTAGATAAATGTCTATCAGGGATGGTCTAGACAGTATTTGGTCCTGCCATGAGGGCAAGGGACTGGACTCGATGACCTCTCAAGGTCCCTTCCAGTCCTAGAATCTATGAACCTATGTCTGACTTCATGAGAACTGAAACTGACCTGATGGCTGATCTTTCAGCCACACTTAAGCCCAAGTCTTGGCACTCAGAAGCAGCCTCTTGCTTTCGTAGCTGCCCTGCCGCTTTTGCAAGTGAAATTCCTTAGACAGAAGCAAAGTGGGAAATAGAAAAAAAAACCCAGAGACATATGCTGGCACAAATGGACGACACATGTCTTCAAGGGGAATGGGATTTCAGCTTTAAAATATTTCCTTTGCCTTCTGCTGTGTGGGATTTTAGTGATATTTTGACTGCATTAACGGTATACCTTGGTTGGGAGCTGGTGCTTTATAAAGAACATTTTTATTAAAAGTATATTTTTAATCCACTCCATTTTGTATAATCATCATCACAATTTATCTGTGTTTAGTATCTACCTTCTGGCAATCCTTTACTCCACTGCCTTCCCTGCAATGCCTTGATCTCATCTCCCTGTGCCTTTTGCAGCCAACGTCCTGGGATGAATCCTGGTTCCACTGAAGTTGATGGAAGTTCTGCCTTTGATTTCAACAAGGCGAGGATTTCACCCCTGGTGCTTTTACTCCTTCTTCCTAGACTTCTTCCTCATCACTCTATTCTTGATCCTTTGCCATTTGCCCATCCCTCCACCAAATTTGACCTCGCCAAGGTATCCACTAAGGCCTTGTCTACATTAAGGAACAGCCCCAGATCAGCTATCAGTACCAGATGATCAGTGTGGCTGCATTGCTGTTGACCACTAAAGTGGAGACAAGAGAAACCCACAGTTTTCACAAATTGCGCTAATCCGTGTTTACTTCTACACTTTGCCCTGGCCGCTTTCCTGCTGCCAAGGAAACTGACAATAGCAATGGAAGCTTAAAATAGCAAAGAGGGAGTGTTGTATTCCTGCAAATAGAAGAGGAGATTCTGTAGTGTGGGCTTTAGACTGGGTGGCAAGACCCAGATTTTTAAAGGTACTTAGGTGCCAGCAGGTGCAGATAGGAGACAAGTAGGATTTTTAAAAATGCCTAGGTGCCTAACTCCCATTGAACTCAATCAGGAGTGGCCATTAATGTGTTGTTGTTTTTGTTGTTGTTGTTGTTGTTGTTTTGCTTTTTTTTTTTTGCTGCCTTCTTTTTTCCTGTATTTTGGGTAACCAGTTTGATATTTAGGAACCATGATTTCCAGAAGTTCTGGAAGTCCCACAATTTCAACTGAAGTCAATGGAAACTCTTGGGTGCTTGACGTTTTCTGAAAATCAGGCCTCAAGTTGAGCACCCAAAATCACTGGTCACCTTTGGAAATTTAGCATCATGGTCGAAACATCCAGCATCTGCAACTGCTTATTTCCTCGAGGTCGTTAGGATGGGTTTAATGATCCTTATCAGCAAAGAAATAAACTAAATTACAACCTCAGGCATGGTCAGCAATTTTTTTGAACATAATGTTGCAGTGCTGCGATGGATAATGGGCATAAGCGCCTATCCCGGGGTTGATGGGTTTGACAAAATGGCAAAAGTCCTGTCAAACCCCAGGTTGTTTTCCTATAATTAACAAATTATAACATAATTAAAACCATGTATTTGGATGGCAACTGGGACCTTTTGGCTATTAATAATTTACAAGCCAGTGATCCAAATACAGACGGAGTAGGCAGGAAATTTAATACTGCTGGTCAGTTACACCATCCCTTTCTTCTGACCTTTCCAAAATTAAGAAATTATGGGAGACCAAGGCCTGGAGAGGTTCATAGGTGACTTGCCAAAAGTTTAGGAACAGAAACTAGATGTTCTGTCTCCGAACCCACACTCAAAACACTCGATAAAGATGCCTCCCGGTGATGGGGTGAAACCCCAACACAGGCCAGAGAGGGTTAAAAGTGAGTTACTGACATTTGCGACCCCAGTGCTGTAATTAATTAGTTGCATCTCAGCCAAAGGTATTGGGACTAAGAGGGTCAGAGGAAAACCTTATGGCTGCCAGGGCATCATAAAAGGCTGCGTTCAGTGTGGGGAAGAAACTACACTGTTCCTATTAAGGCCCCAGATCCAGGATTCGGTGAAGACCAGCCACTGGAGCTGGAGAGAAGATTCCAGGCTGATTTGTTGGGACTTTGGACTTCAGTTAACCTTTTGTTACCCCAAAAGGGGTCTGAACTAGGAGTGTGTGTTGCACCGACAGACCCCGGTCATCGGTGGGTAGAATCGAACCTGGGGCCTCTGAAGCTAAATGCATGAGCCTCTGCATGAGCTAAAAGCCACATGGCCTTTAGCTAAGGCTGTAGTAGACTCAGTAATCTCTCTCAGTGGTCTCGGTGCCACTAGAGGGGACAGAACACCACCCCCAGGAGGTGTATGGGTTACATACTTCCCCTAGCTGAGGAAGCACGTCCCGAGTTTCAGAGACTTCCCAGCTGAAATCCCGGACGAGCCCCCACTTGTAACATTGACAGATCCTGGTTGTTGGCGGGCAGGATTGAACTGGGAAACCTCTGGAGCTAAATGCATTAGTCTCTACTGCATGAGCTAAAAACCATATGCCCCTTAACTAAGGCTGTAGCAGACTCCTTAATCTCTCTCTCTAAGTGGTCTTGGTGCCACTAGATGGGACAGAGTGTGGGTGTGGTGGTTACATGTGCACACATGTGCCGGGGAGGTCAATGGAAGAACTCCTGTAACTCAACACCCTAGCAAGAGGGTGTGCTCTGGAGGTGAGTGAGCCCCACACCACACCCACACTACACTATTTTTTTAAAACAATCAAAAGCCAACCATGATTCTTGTGTTACAGGCTGAGAGACTTGGTGACAGAGAGGTTAAATGACTTACCTAGTAACTCAAAGTCCTGTGCTGTAACCATTACATCATGTTTGCTTATTTCCCATATATTTCTGCAAGTGTGCAGGGCCAGCAAAAGGAAGATCCTAAGAGCAATAAAGAAAAGAACATAAGAACTCATTCGATGCAGTCAATACAAAGTGCAGTTTAGGGTGGGGCATGGCTTCCTGCAGCGTGCTGTTATTGTGTTTCCAGGTGTGTTGTTCATAATTTGTTTCACTGTGAGTTTAAAAGGAGAAGGGGTAGCAGAGTTCTTTATGGCTGGTTTAGGCCCTGATTCAGGAATGCACGGAGGCATGTGCTTTCCTGAATCAGGGCCTTATTTGCTATTTACCTCCATTTCATACAAAGTGAAGGGGTTTTATTGATGAACAACAATAATGCTTGAGGACCCGAAACGGAAAGGCTGAAAGTAGTAATTGGGCTGCGGCTGGCCAAACAAGCACATGGGAGCTAATCATCCCAACGGACTCCAAATCTCCTATTCCCAGCCCAGTGCCAGAAACACAAGACCGGCCTTCGTCTCAGTGGTCCCAATTCTGATAGCCTTAGTCCTATGACAACTGCCTTGCTCCATGAGTAGCGCCAGTGAAATGGATGGGCCTATATGTGGAATAAGCATGAGTAATGAGATGGGAATCTGGACCAATATGTATGATGCCAAATTGTCATTTGAAATTCCATGAACCATAAGGAGGGGGAGGAATTGTACGTGTTGCTCCACGCATAACTAGGAGTGATGAGACACTAGTGGCAACAGAATATCTAAGGCGATGAGCAGAAAAAAGAACACTGTTAGTGACATTTATGTGGTGGAATAGCCACCAAAGGGAATGGAGGAAAATCCACTGCTTGGTCCATTTAAAAGTAGGTTGAATGAAATACTAAGGGGAACAGTCCTACAAAGGCAAAGGAATGTTAAGATGAACTAATAAGTCTTTCTGTTGCTAATTGCTGCACTGTGAATCTGTGATTGACTGTGTCTCTGTGACTTGACGTTTGCTAGATAAAACAGTAGCAATCTCTTTAAAACAGTCATCCAGAAGGGAATTATGTGAGAGCTGTCAAGTGACAGATTTGCGAATTAAACTTTAAATGGAGTTTGGATATGCAATTAGTATTTCTGACATGTTACCCGCTTTTCTCTTTCCTCTGCAGCTAAAGTCCTTGGGCCAGATCCTCAGCTGGTATAAAGTGGTGTAGCTGCATTGCCTCCAGTGGAGTTACGCCAACACACCCCACTGGAGGATCTGGCCCTCACTGTCTAGCGTAATCTGTTTAACTGGTTTCAGAGTAGCAGCCGTGTTAGTCTGTATCCGCAAAAAGAACAGGAGTACTTGTGGCACCTTAGAGACTAACAACGAGACTCCAATGAGAAACTGCTGAACTGGAGTTAATTTGCAAACTAGATACCATTAACTTGGGCTTGAACAGAGACTGGGAGTGGCTGGATCATTACACAAATTGAATCTATTTCCTCATGTTAAGTATCCTCACACCTTCTTGTCAACTGTCTGGAATGGGCCATCTTGATTATCACTACAAAAGTTTTTTTTCTCTTGCTGATAATAGCTCATCTTAATTAATTAGCCTCTTAGAGTTGGTATGGCAACTCCCACCTTTTCATGTTCTCTGAATGTGTATATATATCTCCTCACTATATGTTCCATTCTCTGCATCTGCTGAAGTGGGCTGTAGCCCACGAAAGCTTATGCTCAAATAAATTTGTTAGTCTCTAAGGTGCCACAAGTACTCCTGGTCTTTTTAACTGGGTATAATCCCAAAGGATCCACTTGGAGGGTCTCCTCTGGGCATGGTTTCCCCCTCATGCTAGGGGCATGAGCACATATGATTCTGGGGGCTCAGACATGGTATTACCCCCACCCATTCCCAAAGATGGAAGAAAACAGTGGTCTTAACAAACGTTAATTAGTAAGGGCACGATTCGAGAGGAGCAGGAGCCAGTTGTAGCCGGATGGCAACTGAGGTCTTTTGGATATTAATTTATAAGGTAGTGACGCAGATCCAGAGGGAACAGACGATGGGAGATTTAATAATGCTGTGCAATGACAAAATCGCCTTTCTTCCAATCTTTCCAAAAGATTCTATGAGTATGGTGGGAAACTGAGGCACAGAGGTTACTGTAAATATTTGTAATTCTAATATTTTTTCTATATTTTGATTATTACCAATTCATTCACATTGTTCAGAGCCAGCGCAGGAACGCAACAGCTACAAATGTAGGGCTTAATCCACACCTTGGTTTGACAGGTTTGGGGCAGGCAGGGTTAGATACCAGCATGCCGTTGAATACAAGGGCATAGCACCCCATAGCCCAGTTTTTTTCAAAGTTCGGGTTGCGACCCAATACTGGCTCGCGACCCGAAAGGCCCTGGGTCGCCTTGCTCAGTGACCCAGAGGCTCCGGTCAGCACTGCTGACCGGGATGTTAAAAGTCTCGTCGGCGGTGCTGCCCATCTAAGGCAGGCTAGTGCCTATCTGCTCCGACACCGTGCTGGGCCCCAGAAACGGCCAGCAGTGGGTCCAGCTTCTAGGCAGGGGTGCCATGGGGGGGGGAGGGGCGGTGCCTGTGGGTGAGAGCTGTGCAGAGCCGCTTGTGTACCTCCGCCTAGGAGCCGGACCTGCTGCTGGCTGCTTCCGGGGCGCAGTGCGGCCCACAGTGCCAGGACAGGTGGGAAGCCTGCCTCTGCACCCCGTCTGCACCGCAGACCTGGAGCCGCCAGAGGTAAGTCCATGCCCCAACCCCAATCCCCTGCCCTCAGCCCCCCAAACCTGGAACCCCTTCCTGCACCCCAAACCCCTCATCCCCAACCCCACCACAGAGCCTGCACCGCAGCCCAGAGCCCTGACCCCCTCCCACACCCCAACCCCCTATCCCAGCCCTTAGCCTTCCCCCAAACCTGGAACCCCTTCCTGCACCCCAAACCCCTCATCCCCGACCCCACCACAGAGCCTGCACCGCAGCCCAGAGCCCTGACCCCCCCACACACCTCAACCCCCTACCCCAGCCCTGAGCCCCCCCCAAACCCAGAGTACTTTGCACTTACCTTAATTGAATTACATCTTGTTGAATTCAGACAAATTCTCCAATTTGTCAAGATCATTTTGATCTCTAATATAGGTTCCCAGACTGCTAGCAACCCCTCCCAGCTTCGTGTCATCTGCAGATTTTGTAATATGAATATTCTTCACTCCATTAGCCAAGTCATTAATGAAAATATTGACTAGTACCAGACCCAGGCCTGACCCCTGCGGGATCCCATTAGATATGCCCTCCCAGTTTGAGACTGAACTATCAATAACTATACTTTGAGTACAGTCTTTCAACCAGTTGTGCACCAACCTTATAGTAATTTCATCTAGATCATGTTTCCCTAGTTTGCTTATGAGAATATCATGTGGTACTGGGTGAAAAGCCTTACTAAACATAAGATATCACATCTACTGCTTCCCCCTTGTCCACTACAGAGGTAGTCCTGTTGAAGAAGGAAATTAGATTGGTTTGGCATGATTTGTACTTATAACATATTTTCCAGGTGATAGCAAACTAATTTGTTTGAGTATCTTTACAGGTATCGAAGTTAGACTGACAGGTCTATAATTCCCCGGGGTCATCTTTGTTAAACTTTTTAAAGATAGGTATGATGCTTGCCCTTCTGCAGTTTCCTGGGACCTCTCCTGTCCTCCAGATGTTCTCAAAGATCATTGCTAATGGCTCTGAGATTGCTTAAGTACCCGATATGAATTTCAACAGGCCCTGCTGAATTGAATACATCTAACTTATCTAAATATTCTTTAACCTGCTCTTTCCCTATTTTGGCTTGTGTTCCTTCCCCCTTGTTGTTAGTATGAATTGTCTTGAGTATCTGGTTACCGTTAAGCTTTTTAGTGAAGACTGAAACAAAATGAGAGGGGTAGCCCTGTTAGTTTGTATCCACAAAATCCGGTGGCACCTTAAAGACTAATAAATTTATTTGGGCATAAGCTTTCATGAAGTGGGTTTTTTACCCACGAAAGCTTATGCCCAAATAAATTTGTTGGTCTTTAAGGTGCCACCGGACTCCTCGTTGATTTTGTGAAACAAAATAGGGATTAAACACCTCCACCTTCTTGAGGTCATCGATTACTAGCTCTCCTTCCCCGCTAAGTGAAGGGCCTACGCTTGCCTTCTTTCTCTTGCTTCTAAGGTATTTAAAGAACCTCTTATTGCCTTTTTTGTCCCCTGCTAGATGTAACTCATATTGTGCCTTAGCCTTTCTGATTTTGTTCCTACATGCTTGTGACATTCTTTTGTATTCCTTCTTAGCAGTTTGTCCATGCCTTGCACTTTTTGTAGGATTCCGTTTTTGATTTTCAGGTCATTAAAGAGCTCCTGATAGGGCTATATTGACCTCTTACTATTCTTCCTATCTTTCCTTCTCATCAGAATAGTTTGCAGTGGTGCCTTTAATACTGTCTCCCTGAGAAACTTCAAGCTCTCCTGAACTCCTTTTTCCTTTAGATTTTTTGCTCATGTGACCTTACTTACCAATTCTCTGAGTTTGCTAAAGTCTGCTTTTTTAAAGTCCATTGGCCTTTGTCTGCTGCTCTCCTTCCTTTCCTTAGAATCATGAAATCTATCATTTCATCATCACTTTCACCCAAATTGCCTTCCATCTTCAGATTCGCTCCCAATTCCTCCTGGTTGGTCAGAATCAATTCTAAACTGACTTTTTCCCCCTGTTGCTGCCTCTACTTTCTGGGGCAAAAAGTTGTCCCCGGTACATTCCAAGAACTTATTGGAAATTTTGTTTGGCTGTATTTAAGTCTCCCATTATTACGAGCTTTTATGGTTTGGATATTTCGGTTTGTTCTAGATATGCCTCATCCACTTCCTCTTCCTGATTTGTTATCTATAGTAGACCCCTATCATGGTGACATCACTATTTATACCCTTTTTATATTTACCCAGAAACTGTCAACTGGTTTGCCTCCCACCTCCTTCTGGTCCTCAGAACAAGTATATATTTTTTTGATGTAGAATGCAACACCACCTCTCTTTTTACCCTACCTGTCCTTCCTGAACA